CTGCGGGTACTGTCTTCAACTATTCGACCGGCGAGACCAATCTGGTCGGCATTCTGGTGGCCAGCGCCACCGGAAAAACGGTGTCCGGCTATCTGTCGGAAAAGATCTGGCGGGCCTACGGCATGCAGCAGTTTGCCACATGGGTCACGTCCAAGTCGGGCGAGGAAATCAGCGGCTGCTGCATACAGGCCGCCGCACTGGATTATGCCCGTTTCGGCCAGTTCATGCTCGATGGCGCCTTTGCGGACGGCCAGCCCGTCGTTGCCGAGGGCTGGATCGACGCGGCCACGAACCTGCAGGTCGAAGTGGGCCGCGAAGGCGTGCGCGACTACGGCTATCAATGGTGGACGTTTGACGATGGCGCCTACATGGCCGGCGGCATATTCGGTCAGGCCATATTCGTCGATCCGGCCCGTGAACTGGTGATCGTCACCCACAGCTCATGGGACGACGCGCGGGGCGTGAGCGCCGGCCAGAACGACGAGCGATACGGGTTCTTCGCGGCTGTGCAGGCCGCGATCGATGCGGAGGGGTGACGCGGTTTCGAAGCTATTCCGCCGGACGCTCTGGCGTGCCCGTACGGCCCGCGGACCCGACGATCGCCGTCGGTTGACGCGCGATATGCCGCACCGCCCAACTTGGCGGTTGACTATGGTAGTGCACCGATGAAGGAACCGCAGTGTCACGGCACCGGTTCGGGAAACAGGACGAGATGAACACCTATTCCAACACGCCCTGGGACGCCCTTGAGATAGGCATGGAGGCGTCCGCCAAGCGCCTCTGCCGCGCCGAGGATTTTCTCGTCTACGCGTCTTCTTCGGGCAATCACAATCCGGTTCACCTGCCCAAGGGAGACCATGACGGCGACGGCGAGGCCGATGAGCCGATCGCTCCCTCCATGTGGGTGGCTTCGCTGATATCGGCGGTGCTCGGCAACCAGTTGCCCGGCCCGGGAACGCTCTACAAAGGCCAGAATTTGCGCTTTCTGGGCCGCGCCCATGCCGGCGACGAACTGACCGTCACGATCCGGCTAGCCAAGAAGAAACCCGAACTCCTGGCAGTCTTCGCGACAACGGTGACCAAGGCGGACGGCGCGCCGATCGTCGAGGGCGAGGCGACGGTCATCGCGCCGAAGACGAAACTGAGTTTCGCCGCCGACGACCTGCCCGGCCTGACCGTGCAGCGGCACGTCCATTTCGACAGGCTGCTTGAGCTGGCCGAACCGCTGCCCGCTCTGCCCACCGCCGTTGTCTGCCCGGACGATCCCAAGTCGCTTGGCGGCGCGCTGCTGGCCGCCGAACACACTCTGATCGTGCCGATCCTCGTCGGCGACGAGAAGAAGATCCGCGAAACGGGCGTCGAAATGGGCGTCGATCTGCACCCGTTCGAGATCATCGACGCGCCGACCGATTCGGTCGCGGCGGCCCGTGCCGTCCAGCTCGTCCACGAGGGCCGTGCCGGCGCTGTCATGAAGGGCCATCTGCACACGGACGACCTTCTGCGCGCCATCGTCAAATCCGACGGCGGCCTGCGAACAAGGCGGCGCCTCAGCCACGTCTTCTGCATGGATGTGCCCGGCCTCGATCATCTGCTGATGATCACCGATGCGGCCATCAACATCGCGCCGGAACTGCATGAGAAGGTCGACATCATCCAGAACGCGATCGATCTGGGCCGCGCGCTGGGCGTCGAAGTGCCAAAGGTCGCCGTCCTGTCGGCGGTCGAAACGGTCAATCCCAAGCTGCCATCGACCATCGAGGCGGCCGCGCTCGCCAAGATGGCCGACCGTGGCCAGATCCGGGGCGGAATCGTCGACGGTCCGCTCGCCATGGACAATGCGGTGGACGAGGATGCGGCGCGCACCAAGGGCATCCGCTCGCTGGTCGCCGGCCACGCCGACATTCTGATGGCGCCGAACCTGGAATCGGCCAACATGATCGCCAAGCAGCTGACGTTTCTGGCCCATGCCGAGGCGGGCGGCCTCGTGCTCGGCGCCAAGTGCCCGGTGATCCTGTCGAGCCGCGCCGATGACGACAAGGCGCGGCTTGCCTCCTGCGCGGTCGCCGCGCTCTACCACCAATGGCAACTGAACCAGTAGGCACACCATGTCGGACGCGGCGATCCTGACGCTCAATGCGGGCTCGTCCTCGGTCAAGTTCGCGGTCTATGCGCAGGGCGATGGACCGGCGCTCCGCGCATCGGGACAAGTGGAGAATCTGTCGCCCACCCAGCAGACAAGGCTGATCGTCGAACGCGGTGGGGACAAGCAGGTTGTCGATATCGAGGCCAACGACCATGCCGGCGCGCTTTCCGCGATTCTCGGTCGGGCGGACGTCCTGTTCGGTGGTTCGACCGTTGCCGGCGTCGGCCACCGTGTCGTCCATGGCGGCACTGACTTTGTCGCCCCCACTGAACTGACGCCGGAGGTCATCGGCAAGCTGCGCACGCTCGAGCCGCTCGCCCCCCTGCACCAGCCGCACAATCTCGACTGCGTCGAGGCGGCCATCGCCGCCTTTCCGGACGCCGTCCAGATCGCCTGTTTCGACACGGCGTTCCATCGCACCCATCCGTTCGTCAACGACACGTTCGCCCTGCCCCGCAAATGGTTCGACGAAGGCGTGCGGCGATATGGCTTCCACGGCCTGTCCTATGAGTACATCGCCTCGGAAATCGCTCGCACCGAGCCGGACCTTGCGAGCGGACGCGTCGTGATCGCCCATCTTGGCAATGGCGCCTCCATGTGCGCGGTGCGCGACGGCCTAAGCGTCGGATCGACCATGGGCTTCACCGCGCTCGACGGGCTGCCCATGGGCACGCGCTGCGGCCAGATCGATCCGGGCGTGCTGCTCTACATGATGCAGCATCACGGCATGGACGCCGATCAGATCGCCAACCTTCTCTATCGGGAAAGCGGTCTCAAGGGCCTGTCCGGCCTGACGCATGACATGCGCACGCTGGAACAAAGCGACGATCCGCACGCCCGCGAGGCGATCGACTATTTCGTCTTCCGCATCCGCCGTGAACTGGGCGGCATGAGCGCGGTGCTCGGCGGGCTCGACGCGCTGATCTTCACCGGCGGCATCGGCGAGAACTCGGCACGCATCAGGCGCGAGGTCTGCGCGGGTATGGAATGGCTCGGCATCGCGGTCGACGAGGACAATAACGCCGACAACGCCCGCGACATCGGCACCGGCCGGGTCCGCGTCATGGTGGTTCCGACCAATGAGGAACTGGTGATGGCCCGCGCCGTCGGCGCCGCGCTGTCAGGCGCTCACTGAACCGAGCGGAACCATTCGACAATCGCGCGGCGCTCTTCATCCTCCATGAAGGACACGTTCGCCGGCGGCATGGCGTGCGTGACGCCCGACTGGATGTAGATGTCGCGCGCATGCGCGGCGATCTGCGCATGCGTTTCGAGCCGCACGCCGTTGGGCGGGAAGACGATGCCGTCCCAGAATGGCTCGGTGGCATGGCACATCGAGCAGCGTCCCTGCACGATCGATGCGACCTCCTCAAAGCCCTCGGTCGCCATGATCCGCTCCTGATAGGGCGTGGCCCTGGCGTCCTCTGGGTTGGCCGGATCGTCCGAAAAGAGCGGCCAGGTCGAAATCGCCATGATGAGAACGAACAGGATCGCCGTCGCCAGCCACGTCCAGGTCGGGTTGCCGGCGCGCGCATGACGCGTGTTGAAATAGTGCCGGATCGTCACGCCCATCAGGAACACCAGCGCCGCGATCAGCCAGTTGTATTCGCTCGCAAACGCCAGCGGATAATGGATCGACAGCATGAAGAAGATCACCGGCAGGGTGAGGTAGTTGTTGTGCGTCGAGCGCAGCTTGGCGATCTTGCCGTATTTGGCGTCGGGTGTGCGGCCGGCCTTGAGATCCGCGACGACGATTTTCTGGTTGGGAATGATGATCAGGAACACGTTCGCCGTCATGATCGTGGCGGTGAAGGCGCCAAGGTGCAAAAGCGCCGCCCGTCCCGAAAACACCTGCGTGTAGCCCCAGGCCATGACCACGAGCAGCACGAAAAGGAGCAGCATCAGGACGGTCGGCGTCTCGCCGAGCGGCGACTTGCAGAGCTGGTCGTAGACGATCCAGCCGAACGCCAGCGACGCCAGCGAGATGGCGATGGCGAACGGGATCGAAATGTCGGCAACGTTCGGATCGACCAGATAGAGATCGGCGCCCAGATAATAGACGAGGACGAGCATGGCGAAGCCCGAAAGCCAGGTGGCGTAGCTCTCCCATTTGAACCAGGTCAAATGCTCGGGCATCGCCTCGGGCGCGACGAGATATTTCTGGATGTGGTAGAAGCCGCCGCCATGGACCTGCCATTCCTCGCCATCGGCCGGGCCTTCGATATCCCGGTTCAGACCCAGGTCGAGCGCGATGAAATAGAAGGACGAGCCGATCCAGGCGATGGCCGTGATGACATGCAGCCAGCGCACGGCGAACTCGGCCCATTCCATGAAGACGGCGAGATCATACATCGGTTCGGCCCTTCGCCCCGCTAGCTGCCCCGATAGGTCGAATAGCCATAGGGCGAAACCAGAAGCGGCACGTGATAGTGGGCATCGCCGTCGCTGATGCCGAAGCGGATCGGCACCTGGTCGAGAAACAGCGGCTCGTCGCCGGCAAGCCCGTTGGCGCGCAGATAGTCGCCCGCATGAAAGACCATCTCGTACTGGCCGGCCTTGAACGTGCCCGCCGGCAGGATGGGGCCATCGGTGCGCCCGTCATCATTGGTCACCGCCTCGGCGATCTTTGTGTGCGAATTGCCCGACACCCGGTAGAGCTGGATCGCCATGCCCGCCGCCGGCACGCCGCGCGCCGTGTCCAGCACATGGGTCGTCAGAAATCCGCCTTCGGCCATCGCGCTCGCTCTCCCCGCATGCTTGTCTGATCGGCCGAAAATCGGCATGACAAGTCCATGCACCATCTGACAGCATCCCGCGCGCTTGTGAAGTCCGGCGCGCCACACAGGAGCCGGCGGCCATGAACCGCTACCCCCGCGACATGCACGGCCACGGCCAGACCCCGCCCGACCCGAAATGGCCGGGCGGCGCCAAGATCGCCGTCCAGTTCGTCGTCAATTATGAGGAAGGCGGCGAAAACTCCCTTCTCCATGGCGACGAGGCTTCCGAAGCCTTCCTGTCGGAGATTGTCGGCGCCGCCGCCTGGCCGGGTCAGCGCCACTGGAACATGGAGACGATCTACGAATATGGCGCGCGCGCCGGCTTCTGGCGCTTGCACCGGCTGTTCGTGCAGGCCGGTGTTCCGGTGACCGTCTATGGCGTCGCAACAGCCCTCGCCCGGTCTCCCGCGCAGGTCCGCGCCATGCGTGAGGCCGGCTGGGAGATCGCCAGCCATGGCCTGAAATGGATCGAATACAAGGATTTCTCCCCCGATCAGGAAAAGCATCATATGGAGGAGGCGATCCGCGTCCACCGCGAGGTGACGGGCGAGCGTCCCCTGGGCTGGTACACGGGCCGCTGCTCGGTCAACACGGTCGATCTGGCGGCTCAGGAAGGCGGCTTTGCCTATGTCGCCGACTCTTACGCAGACGACTTGCCCTACTGGCACCATTATGACGGGCACGACCAGCTCATCGTGCCCTATACGCTGGACGCCAACGACATGCGGTTCGCAACGCCGCAGGGCTTCAATGCGGGCGACCAGTTCCTGGCCTATCTGAAGGACACGTTCGACACTCTTTATGCCGAGGGCGAACAGGGCCAGGCCAGGATGATGTCGGTCGGCCTTCACTGCCGGCTCGCCGGCCGGCCCGGCCGGACGATGGCGCTCAGGCGATTCATCGAGTACGCGCAATCGAAGCCAGATGTCTGGTTCGCCCGGCGCATCGACATCGCCAACCATTGGCGCGCCCTTTTTCCGCCCGAGCATCGCGCCAAGCCCTCGCGGCTCGACAAGTCCGAATTCATCGAGGCGTTCGGCGGCATCTTCGAGCACTCGCCCTGGATCGCCGAGCGCGCTTTCAACGACGAACTCGGCCCGGCCAACGACACCGCCATCGGCCTGCATGCCGCGCTCGCCCGGCAGTTTCGTGCCGCCTCCCATGACGAACGTCTTGGCGTCCTGAAAGCGCACCCCGATCTCGCCGGCAAGCTCGCTGCCGCCAAGCGGCTAACCGCCGATTCCACCGCAGAACAGGCCTCGGCGGGTCTCGACGCCCTGACCGACCGGGAACGCGCCCGGTTCGAGGCGCTGAACCTTGCCTACACGGAAAAGTTCGGTTTTCCGTTCATCATCGCGGTACGCGACCACGACAAGGCGTCGATCCTGCAAGCGTTTCAGCAACGGCTTGAAAACAGCGCCGAACAGGAATTTGCCGAAGCCTGCCGGCAGGTCGAACGGATCGCCCTGCTTCGCCTGGGCGAAATACTGCCCCACGGCGGCGACCTGTCGGGTTAGAGCCGTTCGTCTTTAGCTGCCTTTGTCGGCCCGACCTGCGCCAGCGCCGTTGTCGGCGGGGGCTGGCGCAGCATGACCGGCCTTTTCCCATGGCGAAACGGCCAGCAATCCCTCGGCCTGCCGAACGGCGTCGAGCGCGTCCAGCGCGACGATATCGGCGCCCGCAGCCCGGTAGCGATCAGGACTTGCACTGACGGCAACGCCGCCGAGACAAATCCTGACGTCGCGGCGGGCGGAGGCCTGCCGGGTCCGGGCGACCATGTCGGTGGGATCGCACGCATCGTCGCGCGCAAAGGCAATGGCCACGAAAGGAAAGTCGCCGGCCTGCAGCGTATCGTAATAGTCGGGGCCCGGCCGGAGATCGGCGCCGCCATCGACGTTCCATCCCGCGTCCTGGAAGAAGGCTTCGGCCATCGAAAAGCCCAGCGTGTGCTGATCCCCGCCGGTGTTCGCCAGCAGGATGCGCCGGCGCCCGTCTTCGTGCCAGGGCGTCCGGCCGGCCATGCGCCGCGTCACGAGCTGATTGCACATCAGCCGCAGCCGCGTCGACACGATCTCGACCCTGACGAAGTCGACCTCGTCCTCACACCAAAGATCGCCAAGCTTGGCCGCAACGGGGCGCACGATTGTCTTGTAGAAGGCCGAAAGGCTGACGCCGCTGTCCAGCAGCGTCGGCACGACTGAATCGAGAAAGGCCTGATCGGAAACAAGGAAAGCCTCAAGGACCGTCTCGGGATCGAGCCGGCCAACGCGGTCATCATCGCCGCCAGAAGGCGCCGCGACCTCGCCCACCTGCGCGGCCACATGGCGTTTGATGGCACGCTCGAGCAATTGTGTATCCAGTCGACGATCGACAGTGGGCGTGTTCAGCAGTGTATACCGGAAATCCGGTGCCGGTTGACCGGCATTATCGTTGGCCTCCACTGGGTCGTCCGGTGTCTGCCGGCGCCCTGACATTTTGCCTCCTCAGCGGCGGAAAAGACCGCACGCTCGAAAACATCTTATGATGAAATTTGACGGGAGACGAGAGAGCCGGCGAGCAACATGCGACAAAATCGTCCTTGTGGACATCATGCCCTCGGGGAAAGTGGAAACGCCGGCTCGTGACGGCGGTAAACGGCGCATAAACAAGGCGTTGTGTCCGGCTTCCGCCGGGGGATCGCCACCGCGGAACACGTCATCTGCGGTCCGGCCGGCCACCTTTCGAAGCAACATCGCGGCATTAGACATCAGTCTAATGCCGCGATGTTCAGCCATTGCGTGCGCTGCAAAAAGAAAAGACCCGCCGGACAGGAGCCGGCGGGTCGATATCCGGTCGCTGCGGAATCTATTCGGTGGCCGCTTCGCCTTCGGCTGCTTCGGCTTCTTCGGCCGCTTCGCCTTCTTCGGACATCTCGGAGAACTGCGCCAGATAGGCGATCACGTTGGCGATTTCCTCTTCGCTCTTCAGGCCGACAAACGCCATGCGGTTGCCCCGCACATAGCCGCGCGGATCGGCCAGATAGGCGGCGATCGTTTCTTCGTCCCAGACCGCGCCGCTCTCGCCGAATTCGGTCATCGCTTTCGAGTAACGGAAACCTTCGACGGTGCCGGGCGTCCTGCCGATCACATTGACCAGGTGCGGCCCGACCTTGTTGCGCTCTTCCTCGACATTATGGCAGGTGCTGCATGTGCGGAACACCTGCTCACCGGCCGCCGGATCGCCGTCGATGGCGTGCGCCGATGTGGATACGAGCACGGCGCCCGCCGCGAAAAGAAATGTCTTAAGCGATTTCACGTGGTTTCCTCCGGTTAAAATCCCTTCGCGGCTACACCTAGCACCCCAATGAGACGCGTCAACAGCTTGCAGGTGTGACCGCGGCGGTTGTGGCGCGATTTCGCGCCAACCCGTTAACGCGCTACAACTTTAGTTGGTTTCACCGGCGGGAAAAACGTCGTGGAAATCGACGACTTGCCATGCCAGAATGTCAATTGAAATTGACACTTGGAAGCCAGATCGGGGAGCAACTCATGTCGGCACCATTTCCCTTTGCCGCGATCGTCGGCCAGGAGGAGATGAAGCAGGCCCTTCTGATGGCCGCAGTCGACCCGCTCCTGGGCGGTGTTCTGGTGTTCGGCGACCGGGGAACGGGCAAATCGACCGCGGTGCGCGCCCTGGCCGCGCTTCTGCCGAAGATCGAACTGCGCGAAGGCTGCCGCTACAATTGCCAGCCGGACAAGCCGGTCGACATATGTCCTGCGTGTACCGGCGACAAGCCGCCCCGCGTCCGCACCGAACCGGCCCCGGTCATCGATCTGCCGCTCGGCGCCACCGAGGATCGCGTGTGCGGCGCACTCGATCTGGAGCGTGCGCTGGTCTCTGGCGAAAAGGCGTTCGAGCCGGGGCTGCTGGCGCGCGCCAATCGCGGCTTTCTCTATATCGACGAAGTCAATCTGCTCGAAGACCATCTGGTCGACCTCCTGCTGGATGTCGCGGCGTCGGGCGTCAACCTTGTCGAACGCGAGGGCCTTTCGGTGCGCCATCCCGCCCGTTTCGTGCTGATCGGTTCGGGCAATCCGGAAGAGGGCGAACTCAGACCCCAATTGCTGGACCGGTTCGGCCTGTCGGTCGATGTCGCCTCGCCCGATACGCTCAAGGAGCGGGTCGAGGTGGTGCGCCGCCGTGAAGCCTATGAGCGCGACCGGGACGGGTTTGTCCGCGCATGGAGCCGCAAGGACGCAGCCGTCCGGCGCAAGGTCGCAAAGGCACAAGCCATGCTCGACCAGGTGGAGACGCCGGACGCCGTCCTCGAACTGGCCGCCAACATATGCCTGCGTCTCGGCGTTGACGGACTGCGCGGCGAACTCACCCTGATGCGGGCCGCCCGCGCCCGCGCCGCCCTCGCCGGCCGCAATGAGGTGACAAAGGTCGATCTGGTGGCCATCGCGCCCATGGCCCTGCGGCACCGGCTGCGCCGCGACCCGCTCGACGAGGCGGGCTCGGCGGTCCGGGTCGAGCGCGCCGTCGGCGAGGTGGCCAATGGCGCCGCCGGCCATGCTTGAAAGCGGCCCGGCGGATTTCCCGGCACCGGCGGCCGAGCCTGCGCCTTCGGCCGACCATTCCAGCGCCGGCGATCCGGCCTGGGCCGACGCGCTGTGCGCGGCGCGGATTTTTGCCGCGGCGCCGGCGGCACTGGGCGGCATCCACGTTATCGCCCGCGCATCGCCGGTTCGCGACCGCTGGTTGGACGCTGCGCGTGCCATGCTCCCGGCGACCACCCCGGTCAAGCGTATCACACCCGCCGTGTCGGCCGGCCGCCTGACCGGCGGCATCGACATTGCCGCGACACTGGCCGGCGGCACGCCCGTGCACGAAGCCGGTCTGCTCGAGACGCTCTGGGGCGGTTGCCTGATCGTCGCCATGGCCGAACGGCTCGCGCCAGGCACCGCCGGCATCATCGCCCGCGCCCATGACGCGACATCGGGCTTCGGCATCGTCGCGCTCGATGAAAGCGACGGCGACGAGGATCATGCGCTGCCCGGTGCCGTCGCCGACCGGCTGGGATTGCGCGTCCGTCTCGACGGCATCGCGATCGGCGACGCGACGATCGAACGGCAAACGCCTCAGCCGCCGGACGAAAGCGCAGTCCAGGCCGTCACCATCGCCGACCCGCTGGCCGAGACGATCGTTGCGGTCGCCGCCATGCTGCGCGGCGCATCGATGCGCGCGCCTGCCCAGGCCATGCTGGCCGCCCGCATTCTTGCCGCGTCCGCCGGCCGTTCCGAAGCCTCGCCGGACGATGTCGCAACGGCGCTGCGGCTCACCTGCGGCGCGATGATCGAGGCGCCGGCGGATCAGGCGGACGGCAGCAGCGCGGACGATGATCCGGCAGACGACGCGCCGTCCCGGGACGAACGCCAGCGCGACCAACCCGACACGCCCGAGCAGGACAGCGAGACCGAAACCGCCTTCGACCCCGAACAGCTCAAGGACCTTGCCATCGCCGCCACGCGAGGCGCCAAGCTCGATCTGGCCCTGTTCCACCAGGCCAACATGACGCGCACCCGGGCGCAGAGCGCGGCGGGCAAATCGGGCGCGGTGCGCCAGGGCGCCCGGCGGGGCCGGCCGGCGGGCCTGGTCACCCGGCCGCCCTTTCCCGGAGCCCGGCCCAACGTCGTCGCCACGCTTCGAAGCGCCGCGCCCTGGCAGATGATCCGCCGCAAGGCGCGCGGCCTGCCCGCCTGGACACCCGGGGAACCGCTCTGCGTGCGACCGTCCGACTTCCGCTATGTCCGCTACGCCCACAACACCGAGTCCACTGCGATTTTTGCGGTCGACGCATCGGGCTCGACCGCCCTCGAAAGGCTCGGCGAGGCCAAGGGCTGCGTCGAACTGCTTCTGGCCGACTGTTATGTGCGCCGCGACCAGGTCGCGCTGGTCGCCTTCCGCGGCGAAGGCGCCGACGTGCTGCTGGAGCCGACCCGTTCGCTCGTCAGGGCCAAGCGGTCGCTGACCGCCCTGCCCGGCGGCGGCCCGACCCCGCTTGCCGCCGGCCTTGGCCAGGCACTCGATCTTGCCGATCGCGCCCGGCGGCGCGGCCAGTCGCCGCTGATCGTGCTTTTGACCGACGGCAAGGGCAATGTGGCGCTCGACGGCACGCAGGATCGTCAGGCGGCGCGCGCCGATGCCGAAGAGATGGCCCGGCGTGCGGCCCTGACCGGCATTCGTTCGGTGATCATCGACATTGCCCGGCGGCCGCGCGACAGCGCCCGAACCCTCGCAGAAGCCATGCACGCCGACTATGTCACGCTGCCGCGTGCCGATGCGGGCGCCATGTCCGGCATCGTCTCGAACTATCTGAAGGCGCCGCGCTGATGGCCGCCCCGGCCGACCCCGCCCCGCCCGAGGGCTGGCATGCGGTCGAGGGCCGATGGCCGAACGCCGAGCACAGCCGGTTCGTGCGGGCCGCCGGCCTTGTCTGGCATGTCCAGCGCATGGGCGAGGCCGGCGCTCCCAAATGCCTGCTTGTGCACGGCACGGGCGCATCGACCCATTCGTTCGGCGCGCTGATGCGGCTTTTGGCCGAACGGTTCGACGTGCTCGCGCCCGACCTACCCGGTCATGGTTTTACCTCCGAGGCGCGCGGCCGCGTCCTCTCCCTGCCCGGCATGGCCGACGCGCTGGCCGGACTGCTCGACACGCTCGATTTCGCGCCCGCCATCGCCGCCGGCCACTCGGCGGGCGCGGCCATTCTCATCGAGATGGCGCTCGGCGGCCGGATCGAACCGGCCGCGCTGATCGGCCTCAACAGCGCGCTCGAACCGATCGAAGGCAATGCCATCTTCTCGCCGCTGGCCAAGGCGCTCTTCGTCAACCCGTTCACCGCCCATACAGTGGCCTTCCAGGCGCGCCACACGCGCCTGCCCCGCCGGCTCCTGGCCAACACCGGATCGGCGCTCGACGAGACGACGATCGGCCACTACGAAACCCTCGTCGGCATGCCGTCCCATGTCGCCGGGGCCTTGGGCATGATGGCCAACTGGAATCTCGAGCCGCTGCAGCGCCGGCTGGCCGACCTGAAGACGCCGACGACGCTCATCGTCAACGAGGACGACCGGATGGTGCCGCCGCGCGTCTCGCGACATGCGGCGACGCTGACAAACTCGGCCACCATCTTGTCCCTGCCGTCGGGCGGGCACCTGGCGCATGAGGCCGCCCCGCACCAGTTTGCTGAAATCATTGAGGAAACGGCGCGTACCGCCGGCCTTCTCGATACCGCCGAGGCGGCGCAATGAGCGCTCTTTCATCCTTCCCCGGCAGTTGCCAAAGCGGCAGCCCGTGTCTTTACTTGGGGTCATGATGACCGTTCACCAGACACCTCCGCCGGTCGAAACCGGACCTGACCAGCGTCCCCACGCGGTGGTGATCGGTGCCGGATTCGGCGGACTTGCCGCCGCAGTGCGCATGACCGCGCGCGGCTATCGCGTCACCGTGATCGACAAGCTCGACGATGTCGGCGGGCGCGGATATGTCCACCGGCAGGACGGGTTCACCTTCGATGCCGGGCCGACCATCATCACCGCGCCATTCGTCTTCGAGGCGCTCTGGACGCTGTTGGGCGAGCGCATGGCAGACCATGTCACGCTCAAGCCGCTGGAGCCTTATTACACGATCCGCTTCGATGACGGGCGGACCTTCCGCTGCTGGTCCGACGAAGACAAGATGCGCGAAGAAATCGCCGCGTTCGAGCCCGATGACATTGACGGCTACGAGGATTTCCTCGTCGAAAGCGAGAAGTGCTACCGGACCGGCTTTCAGAAGATGATCGACCAGCCGTTCCATTCGCTCGCCGAGATGGTGCGGCAGATGCCCGGCCTCGTCGCCCGGCGCGCGGATCGCTCGGTGCACGCTCTTGTGTCGAAATATGTCCGAAACGACCATCTCCGCCAGTCGCTGAGCTTCCATCCGCTGTTCATCGGCGGCAATCCGATGCGCACATCGGGCGTCATGAGCCTGATCTCGTTTCTCGAGCGCGAGTATGGCGTGCACTATTCCCTGGGCGGCACCGGCGCGCTCGCCAGGGGCATTGCGGATCTGGCCGAGCGGCACGGCGCGCGTTTCCGGCTTGGCGTGCAGGTCGATGAGATCATCGTGAAAGAGGGGGCGGCAAAGGGCGTCCGTCTTGCTGGCGGCGAGACCGTCGCCGCCGATTGCGTCGTCTCCAATGCCGATGCCGGCTGGACGTACACGCACCTTTTGCGCAACCACAAGCGGAAACGCTGGACCGACCGCAGGGTGCGGCGCATGAACTATTCGATGAGCCTTCTGGTCTGGTATTTCGGCACCAGCCGCCGCTACGACGATATCGGTCACCACACCATCCTGATGGGGCCGCGCTATGGCGGGCTGCTGACCGACATCTTCGACAGGAAAGTGCTGGCCGACGACTTCTCGCTTTATCTTTATCGGCCGTCGGCATCCGATCCCTCGGTGGCGCCGGAAGGCTGTGACGCGTTCTACGCGCTGTCGCCAGTGCCCAATCTCGATGGCGACACCGATTGGCATGCCACGGCCGAGCCCTATCGCCAACGCATACAGGATCACCTCGAACAGACAATGATGCCAGGCCTGTCGGACGCGATCGTCACGACGAAGCTGACGACGCCGCTGGACTTCCGCGACCGGCTCCTGTCGACCAAGGGCGCCGCCTTCGGCATGGCGCCGACCATCTTCCAGCTTGCCTGGTTCCGCCCGCACAACGTCTCCGAGGAAGTGCGCGATCTCTACATGGTCGGCGCGGGAACCCATCCCGGCGCGGGCCTTCCCGGTGTCGTCTCGTCGGCGGCCATTCTCGACAAGCTGGTGCCCCATGCCACCACACGCGCGTAGGACCCCGCTTCTGAGCGCGCGCGACCGGCGCCTGTGCCACGAATCGATTCGCGCCGGCTCGAAGAGCTTTCACGCCGCCTCGCGTCTTTTGCCGCGCGACGTCCGTCTCGGCGCGCGCGCGCTTTACGCCTTTTGCCGCTCGTCGGACGATCTGATCGACGATGCGGGCAATGACGGGCGCGCATCGCAGCGCCTCAAAAGACGGCTTGAGCTGATCTATGAAGGCTGTCCGATCGATCTGGTCTGCGACCGCGCCTTCGCGGCAGTCGTTCAGACCTATCACATCCCCATCGAGGTGCCGCTGGCCCTGATTGAAGGTTTCGAATGGGACGAAGCGGGCCGCGAATACCGCACCTTCGCCGATGTGAAAGCCTATGCGGCCCGCGTCGCCTCGACCGTCGGTGTCATGATGACGATGGCGATGGGCTGCCGCGACCGCGCCGTTCTGGCACGCGCCGCCGATCTGGGCCTTGCCATGCAACTGACCAACATTGCGCGCGATGTGGGCGAGGATGCGCGGCGCGGCCGCATCTACCTGCCGCTCGACTGGCTGGCTGAGCAAGGCGTCGACCCGCGGGCCCTGATCGATGCGCCGAGGTTCACGCCACAACTCGGCCGCGTCGTCGCGCGCCTTCTGGGCGAGGCCGATGCGTTGTACGACCGGGCGCTGACCGGCGTTGCCGGCCTGCCGCTCGACTGCCGGCCGGCGATCCGCAGTGCGGCCTTCGTCTATCGCGAAATCGGTCGGGAAATCGGTGCGGCGGAATACAATTCCATCGACACACGCGCCCACACCAGCCGCCGCCGCAAGGGCGAACTGATCGCCGTCGCCACACTGATGCCGTTCCCCATGCGACCGCCCGCGAGCGTCCCAGCCGACCCCTCGGCCGCCTTTCTCGTCGACATTGCCGCTTCGTCCGATCCGGTCCCGCCGCGCACCATCGACGCCAAGCTCGGCCGCATGCTGGAAATCATGGGCGACGCCCGCGACCGGCAGCGGCAGGTCCGCCTCGCCGGTGCGCAGCGGGGGTGACCGGTGGAAAATCTCGGCATCATCGAGGTGATCTTCGGCGCCGTCGGCTTTGCCGTCTTCTATGTCTGGCAGATGCGCACGCTGAAACGCGACAAGGCCGCGCTCAAGGCCCGGCTTGAGGCCGAAGCAAAGGCCGATCAGGAGCCATAGCGCGCCCGGCGCGGCATGCGGAACGGCAGCATCGCCTTGACCAGCGGATTGCCAAAGCGCAGGCCCGAAAAGCTCTCATGCATCAGCCGGACCTTTTGGCCGAACAGCACCGTGTCGACCGTCTGGCGCAGGTAGAACGGCCCGTCCTCGAGCGTTTCGACCAGCACCGGCGCATGGCCCGGATCGGCATGGGCGCCGCGCGCCACGCCCCAAAAGCCGGACTTCAGCGCCGTATGGGGAAGTTCGTCGCGCTCGGTGATCGTGCCGTCGCGGCCAAAATGCAGGACCAGAAAACCGCGCGAGCCGTCTCGCCGCTCGGTGTCGTAAAGGATCACCGATTCGCCGTTCTCCAGTTCGCCGCGCGCCCAGTCCCAGCGCGCGAAACTGTCTTCAAGCCCGATTTCGCCCCAATTGCTGTCGAGATAGCCATGGCCGGACCAGTCGGGCATGCCGCCCCTCGAAAAGCTGACGGCAATGTCGCCCGACGGCGCGATGGGCCACCAGCGCTGATGCCCCTCTGCGTCGATCGGAAACGCGCGATCGGTGATCGCGTGCGGCGTCAGCACGATGCGGCCCGCCACCCGCTGCGGCAGCCACTGGCGCGGCGGTCGCGGCACGGCCATCTCGTCGAAATCGATAGACAGCCGGCCATCATTCCAGGTCAATTGGCTCGGTCCGACGCGGAAATGGGTGGCATCGCGGCTCATCGCGCCGCGGCCGCGCTCGGTCATCGTCCAGCGGTTGCGCCCGGGCGCGTAGAGCGCGACATTGATGCACACATGATCGTCCGGATCGCGCCGCCCGCGCCAGGCGTAATAGGGCGAAAAGACCGAACCGACGAAGGCGATCACCGAGACGCCGTAGCGCCCGCAGGCGCTCATTCCATCGACATACCACCAGAGATAGCCGCCGCGGGGAACGATGGCGTCGAAAACCGGTCCGACAGAAAAGCGTCCGCCGCCAGCATGCCGGAAAGCGTCGCCATCGGCACGCCCGGCCCCGGATGAACGCTGCCCCCCGCCAGATAGAGGCCCTTGAGGGCCGTCCTCGCCCCCGGCCTGCGAAAGCTCGCCATCCAGCCGTGCGACGCCCGTCCGTACAGCGCCCCGCCGCTGCCCGGAAACAGCCGGTTGAACGACGCCGGCGTCGTCACCCGGGCTTCCAGCGCCGTCCGGTCGATGTGCAGGCCGCATCGCGAAAGTTGGTCGAGGGTCAGTGTCAGGCATTTGTCGGCCTCTTGATCGTCATACTCTGTCATGTCGCCGTCGCCCGGCGCATTGATCAGCATCAGCACGCGCTCGGTGCCCCGCGCCCGCGCCTCGGGGCTGAGCGTGCCGTCGCTCGCACGGTCCTGCGCACAGATATAGGCGGTCGGCGCTGCTGTTGTCGCGCGCCGCTCGAAGATCGCTCCGAACTCGTCGGCATAGTCCGGCGAGAAGAACACATTGTGATGGACCAGCGGAAACTCCGGCACCGTCATCAGCCCGGTCCACGCCATCGCCGAAAGGGAGCGCTCAGCCGGCGTGACGGGCTTGCACTTGGCGGCGAGCGCCGCCGTGCCGAGCGCGCCGTTTGCCAGCGCCGACACATCGCCGTTGAAGACGACGGCACTTGCCTCGATCGCCTCGCCGCCATCGAGCACGACACCGGTGACGACACGATCCTCATGGGTGACGATGCGGCTGACGCCGGCGCCGAACCGGTAACCCACGCCGCGCGCCTCGCCGAGCCGCACAAGCCCCTTGGCCAGCGCATGCATGCCGCCATCGACCATCCACACCCCGTCCTGCTCGACATGGGCGACGAGCATAAGCGTTGCCGGCGTCATGAAGGGCGACGAGCCCACATAGGTGGAATAGCGCGCAAAGAGCTGGCGCAGGCGCGGGTCGGGAAAATAGCCGCCCAGCGCCGACCAGATCGTCTGAAACGGCCTGAGCGCGAGATGCCGGTGGATCGAAAGCGGCCCGATCCGCCACAGGAACTGGGCCATGTTCGGCCGCTGGTCGGCCATGAACGGTTCCTTCAGCGTCTCGAACATGCGCCGGCTGTCGGCACAAAAGCGGCGGTAGCCCGCCGCATTGGCGTCATCGCTGAAGGCTGCGATCGCCTCGGCCGACCGGTCGATATCCGCGTGCAGATCGAGCCTCGTGCCATCGGTCCAGAAATGGCGCGCCAGAACCTTTGCCATGCCAATGTCGACCACATCCTCAAGCCGCTGCCCGGATCCTTCCAGCAGCCGGTCGAACACCCATTTCATCGTGAAGACGGTTGGCCCACCATCGATTGCCGCATCGCCGACCATGACGTGCCGCGCCTTGCCGCCGGGCGCCGCCTCCTTCTCCAGAACCAGGACATCGTAGCCATGTCCGGCCAGACCGATCGCCGCGGCCAACCCACCCATGCCCGCCCCGATGACGATGATCCGCTCGCGCTGCGCGTGTCTGCTCATGCCGCGTTGACATTTTCCGCCGTTGTGTCAATTTTACTTTACAGTCTTTTATGTCGTTGTAAATTGACGAACGGCATCGGATCGGGAGCCAGCCATGGACATGCAAAAGCGGATCGAGCGCGCCCTTGAAACCGCGATCAAGCACGCCACGGCGGGCAACCAGCCGCCGAAGATCGCAAAGGCCCTGCGTTATGCGGTGTTTCCCGGCGGAGCACGGGTGCGCCCGCGCCTGTGCCTTGCCGTTGCGATGGCGTGCGGCGACGACCATCCCGAGGCGTCCGACGCCGCTGCCGTGGCGATTGAACTGCTGCATTGCGCCTCGCTCGTCCATGACGACATGCCCTGTTTCGACAATGCCGATATCCGCCGCGGCAAGCCCGCCGTCCACTCTGCCTTTTCGGAGCCGCTGGCGCTTCTGGCGGGCGATGCGCTGATCATCGCCGCCTTTGAAACCATCGCCCGGCAATGCGTCGGCACCCCCCACCTGATCGCACCGCTCACCGGAACCGTCGCCAAGGCGGTCGGCATGCCGCACGGGCTGGTCGCCGGCCAGGCATGGGAGAGCGAGGACGAGATCCCGCTGGTCGAATATCACCGCGCCAAGACCGCCTCGCTGTTCACCGGCGCGACGATGGCCGGCGCGATTGCCGCCGGCGCCGACCCGCAGACCTGGCGCGCAATGGGCGACGCGCTCGGCGCGGCCTATCAGGTGGCTGACGATCTGCGCGATTTCGCCGCCAATGAAGCCGAGATCGGCAAGCCTTGCGGGCAGGACGACGCCAACGGCCGGCCCAATGCGGTTGCCGCCGGTGGCCTCGACGCCACGATCGCAAGGCTGCATGACCTGGTCGGCCGGACCGTCGCCGCCGTACCCGACTGCCCCGGCGCACCGATGCTGCGCGACCTGATCGCCGGCGAAGCCAAGCGGCTGATGCCCGAGAGCCTTGCGAGCCGCGCCGCCTGACGGCCATGGCCGACGCTGCGCATGCCCCGCCGGAGCCAGCCATGAGCCGCAAGGCAACCCCTTCGCGCGCGTCGCTGTCCGACCGCATTCGCACTTGGCGAAACCGGATGATCGCCGATCGGGCATTCCGCCGCCGCGCCCGCAACTGGCCGATCCTCCGGCGGATCACCAACAAGCGTGCCAATGAGCTGTTTGCCCTCACTGCCGGATTCGTCAATTCTCAAGTGCTGCTGGCCTGTGTCGAACTGGACCTGTTCGCGGCGCTCGAAGACGATCCAAAAGACACTGCCGCCCTTGCTCGCCATGTGCGTTTGCCGGGCGATGCCGCCGATCGGTTGCTGCGCGCCGCCGAAGGGATCGGCCTCGTCGCCCGCACGAGCGACGGGCGCTGGACGCTCGACGATCATGGCGCCGTTCTCACGCAAAGCCCCGGCATCACCGCGATGATCCGGCACCATGGTGCCGTCTATCGCGACCTCGCCGATCCGGTCGCGCTGCTGCGTGATCCTCCGGCCGAAACCGAAACGTCCCGCTTCTGGTCCTATGTCGGCGGCACGGTCGGCGCCGAAGACGGCGCGGCCTATTCCGAACTGATGCGCATCAGCCAGGACATGGTGATCGAGGAAGTGCTCGATGCCTATCCGATGGACCGGCATCGGCACCTTCTCGATGTCGGCGGTGGCAGCGGCGCCTTCGTCACGGCCGCCGGCAACCGCTGGCCCAGCCTGGAGCTATCGCTGTTCGATCTGCCCGCCGTTGCCGAAACCGCCCGCCAGCGATTGGCCAATGGGCCGCTCTCCGGGCGGCTGACCGTCCATGGCGGATCGTTTTTCGACGACGCGCTGCCGCGCGACGCGGATTGCTATGCGCTGATCCGCGTCCTCTACGACCATGACGATGCCGCTGCTTTGCGCATCCTGTCAGCCATTCACGAGGCGATGGAAGACGGCGACACGCTGATCATCGGCGAGCCGATGGCCGGCGACGCGCCCGGTGCGCGGCAGGTCGCCGCCTATTTCACCTTCTATCTGATGGCCATGCGCTCGGGCCGCTGCCGTGCGCCCGACGACATCTTCGCCCTGCTTCAGGCTGCTGGTTTCCGGCACATGCGACAACGCCGAACCCGAATGCCAGTGGTCGCCGGCCTTGTGTCCGCACGCAAATAGGGGTCGTGGTCGAAAATGTGTAAAAATTAGTTGACACATTTGGATGTAATTCTAGGATGACGCTTGGAGGCAGAGTCTGAACCTCTCATCGAGGACAGGCCCGTAAGCGATGAACACACACGCGATCGTTCTGGAAAAGCCCGAGACCATCGCCCTGCGCGATGTGGGCCTGACCGCGCCGCAGCCCGGCGACGCCGTCGTCGATGTGTTGTGGAGCGGCATCTCGACCGGCACCGAGAAGATGCTCTGGGACGGCACGATGCCCACTTTC